GTACGTAGAGTGGAGTCGTCGAGTCATTAAAATCCGTCAAGTCAACACTACAACTACTGAACAATGAGGATCAAAGCTTCTCCATTCTTTTCAAAGTGGCTAGTGGATGTTACTGTCTATCCTTACAATGAACTCAAGGCAACCAGGCGCAGCTACGAACTGAAGTATGTCTCTTGCAAGCAGAAGGGCATCAAATTGTCCATAGAAACACCTACAATTGTGTACCAGTGAGTTGTTTTGAGCCATACCAGTTGGAAGACCTAATCATGACCAAAGTAGCCAGGCCAGTACCTCCTGACATGAATGAGATCATTGACACCATGGAATATTGGGGGAGTCAGAAGAGCATTGAGTGTATTGTCTTGTGCTTGAAATGCTTGCTGACTGTATTGACATACAGATGTTCCTTCACAGGGCTGCCAAGTTCAAGAGGTGCTTGTATTGGCTGGCTCTGGAGTACACAGGAGAGAGGTTCCATGGCTACACAAGTGAGCACAAACAGTGTATGGAGGCTTGGAGTCAGTGGTTTGACAGGACTTACAATGACAATCTCACTTTCAAGTTGTTGGCAGTGGAAACTGAGGAATACCTGGAGGGCTGTGTCAACCATCTTCATGGCTTTGGAGTGCTGGAGACTCATGAGCATTTGGTTGACTTGAGCATGGATGGGCCTGATGAGGTGGTTAGCGCTGGTAATTGAAAGGCAGAGGCAAAGAAAATGTTGGAGTTTGTTATCCAAGTAGTGACACAGTAACAGTAGCAAGGAACTTACTTGTTTGTATTCAAACCATTCTTTGTAGTGGCTGCTTGGATGAGTAGCTTTCTTACAGCTTGGACCAAAGCCATCAGTGGCGCCATGGCAATCCTTTCGCTCATTGCACTTGCCACACCACCCTCTAACACAGTTTTTTCCAGGTCGCTCCACCTTTGCATGTTCCCTCTTTCTGTGGCCACAAACCATGCAAAACGCTCTGCTCCTGAACACTTTAACTGGTGGGAGAGGTTGTGGTGGCTCCTCTGCTGCTACCGGTCGCACATACTGCATTGGAACAAGTCGGTGATCCACATTCCCAACTGTTGTCACGGCATTTTGTCCATTACGTACTCGTACCGCTTGGAGTGCTCCAACGGCAACATCGGCATTCAAAACAGTAGGATTGCCGAAAGGAGTTGTTCCACCAGCATGGAACTCACGGGGAGCAGCTCGATGTATTGTTGGTGCTTGTTGCAGAAGCTGTCGACTAGCACGTATCTGTGCAGTGACATTGTCATAGTATGGATCAACTCCTCTTGGTGCCACCGCTTCGAGTGCTTGCACCTCTCGCTGTTGATCGTAGTATTGCTCCAGTTGCAGTCGGCTCTTTCTGTTGATCTTGATAACTCCATCGTCTCCTTCACTCCATCGCTTAAATCGAAGTGACACCTCTGTATTCCATCGTCTTTCAAATTGCTTATAGCATCGAGGTCCAGTACTGACATTTCGCCCATAGTCTCCTTTCCACTCATCAAATAAAGAAGCTTCCTCACGATCCACTTCGGTCTCAGGTGAACTTGAAAGTGGATTACGTAGTGGCAACCAAGTCTTTTCATCCGTGAGTCACTTAAAGGCATCCAGTGAGCTTTCCCTTGTAGTGTCGGTTGGTAGCAGGATATCTATTTCTTTAAGAATTTCGGCGCTGTTGATTTGGTCTTGGTGGTTAGCAGCAGCATCTCTAGAATTAGAGCGTTCGCCAGTTGTGGAAGAGGCAGCTTGTAGAAACGCCTGATACTCTTCTTCAGAGGCAAAGACCTCTATATCCGCATCTTCCCCAACTGCATTGCTGACCGCTTCAGTGACTGGATCATTGTCATTGTTGCTGTTTTCGTTAGCTGCATGGACGTTCTCATAACCAGGAAGGTTCTCCTCATCATCGTCTTCTGTACGAAGTGAGCGATCTCTACCATCTCCATCCGTAGGATTGGACACATCATGCAGAGTAGTGGGCATGCAATATTTGAATCCAAGGAACTCTTCTGGGTTGTCACCGGATCTTGGAACAGCGACATCCTTGAATGGAAGGTCCTGCTCTTTAAATCCAACCGATTGGGCATAACTCCTGATAAGAAGCAGCTTCTCTGACTGGGAAGTGAAATAGTCAGCCTCGCCAAGTCTCAGTACCGCTTTCCGATCGTTCTTCCTTTCAAAGAAGTTCCCAAGTATTCTCTCGCCCCTGTGGATTCCTAAATAAAATTCAAATATGTAAGCTCGTTGGAACAAACCGCCACTGGAACATGCGAGATCAAACATGATGTTGAATACTTACCAATGTGTGTTGCCCTTGCCAATATGGTAGCGAGATCCAAGTTGTCTTGCTCATTAGTGTTGGTTCCCCTTGCAACATACACTGCACCAGTGACAGGGTTGCGCTTAAACAGTTTGACTCGCAAAGAAGGGTCTGGATCAGTCAAGCATCCCTTATCGATGTGGCTGAAGGCATTCCTGATTACATCACGGACAACACTTCCAGTCTTTAAGAATCGCTCAGGCTTGGGGCGTGTGTCATCAGGTGACCTGGTAGCTAAGTCCTGTTCTATTTCGGCATCCTTGGCTTGAGCATACCAGATAACTGCTTCAACGTTGGCTCTAAGAATGTGTGGTTTGGGAATGGTCGCTTTTGCTTCTTGTAGAATTTCCTTAACTGTTGGCTCCCTTTTCCTCTTTGCTGTGACATGCTCCTTGGCCCTCTCATACTCGGATGACTCCACAAGGAACACTGCTCGGTGCATCAATCCTCTAAGAATTCCTGCTTGCTTACTGGTTGGCTTGTGGTAGGCATCGTTGAACCTCTTCAACCAGTGAAAGACGTCGAGTAAGACAATAGCCCCCACAAAGACTCCAAGCAGCATCCGCCTGACTGTACAACAGTTGTCAACATAAATGACCTTGACAGCTTCTTCATGTTCCACATCCTCCAAGCTCCTTGGTTCGTACAAGCTGAAATCAGCAAACAAATCCTTGGCAATGGCCGCTTCCTCTGCCAGTTTCTTCCGTTTCAAATTCAAGTTCAAACGCAATCGCAGCCTCTTCAAGTCATCCACTATCTCGGTGATGGACTCACTGTGACGGAGTCCCTTCCAAAAGATGGTCATGCCATCTTCATTCTGGAGGGTGACGATGCATTGGTATGGTGGAAAACTCTGCCCTTGCTTTGTCCAAACATGAATCTTCTTGGCTAACTTGTAATTAAAATCAACCTTGGCGACTGTGCAACAGAGAGAGCACATTTTTGCCTCTTGAAATGGTCGCCGCGCCTTGAAGAAACACAGGACGATGCTGTCGATTCGGTGCTTGGAGAGAACCTTGCCACAGTATCCGTTGACATCATTGAATTCTGGAAACATCAAGGGACGCGAATCTTCAGCTTCCACGCTTCCATTAACTCCATTAACCAAGGGATTCGCTGCACCATGTTGTGGTACATATGCCCCAAGAGCATCGGTTGCCTCCTCAAGTTCCTTCTCTGCGTCGGCGACTTTGGTGTTAAGGCTTTCGAATTCGCTATCCCATTTTCCAATGTACTGGGCACACCAATCTTGCCACTGGAAAATCAGCCTTCGTGGTATCTCGAACTCCGTGTCATGTTCTGGATCAACTCTCATTAGATCATGCATGCTCAACAATCCATTGGCGATCAACCTCTTCAACTTGACAGGGCCCAAGCCAGGGAGAACGTTCTTCATTCCATAAACATTCCGATCACCCTTGGGACCCAACAACCTGGCAAATTCCACATCACCCTCTGCTCTGCTCCTTGCACTGGACCGAGATAGCTTAAGTGTAGTAACTAGCCTCTCCTTGTCTTGCTTCCGCCGCTGTAGATATGCTAGGTGTGGATCGTACTCCTGGCTGCGTCGTTCGATCATGGAATCAAGTGTTTTGGTTCGCTTGCGTGGTCTAATTTTGTCCAATCCAACTGCGGCAAGGTAGAGCATAAAGTCATCATAGTATGCTGCGTACGCCATCTTCTGTAGCTTTCGAGCTATCTCCGCGGTAGACTGAGTCATGGAGTCCTCGATCACTTGCCTGTAAACCTCCTCATCACATGCAAACTGGGGACCAAGGTAGAAATTGAAATATGCATTGTAGAGATTTGCGTCAAGCTGCATGGATTGCTTGTTGAATCCAGTGAACGAACGCCTGCAGCGGTTGCATGGGTAGAGTTTGGTATCCAAGTACTTGTAGCGCGAAACACCAAACACAACTTTGGGAGTGCGAATCCATCTTGTCTTGGTGTTGCACACACTCACTTGGTCATTCTTCTTGCAGTGCGGACAATGCGGCACATGATTCTTGAACAGCAAGTGTGGTAGCCACACTGCTGTTGGGCGGATGCAGAAGCTCTCGCGAGTGATCCTCTTGTTGTTGCTCTTGTCTAAAATCGTGGAGCAGTATCTTCCTCCGGTTGGGGATATCTCTTTCCAATTGCAACTCTTGAAATAGGACTTGCCATCCCTGTCAATGTCAGCTCTAACTTTCTTGATGAATCCGTGCTGGTGTGGTCCATAGTGCTTTGGTTGATCTGTCATTGTGTCAGCCGCCGTCCTCCAATCTCATGGTCAGTTTCCTTCGATTTACTCCACGGTGACAAAAAGTGATGGAGGTACATCGATTTCAAATAAGCCGGCATAACGCGCATGCCACCTTTATTTCGCGCGTCTAATTAGAATATTCCGAGTCTTGCGCGCAGAAGTTTCGGCACACATCTCACTTTGGAGTAGACTATAGTACTTTAACATACAAAACGTGCTAATTCCATCGCATTTGAGGGGAGCGAGAGGCAAAGAATTAGATTCGGAAGAATGGGAATTGTCTGACACATGGGGGGCCGGATTTAGAGGGGTAGCATGTCTGGGGGTCTGACCCTATCTCTTTTCTTTTTCGCGTATTTTCTCTTCTTGAAAAGGACCCGAAAGGAGCACGACCTACGATTGCTTGTCTACAGGGAACAAACGATTCGATGCGTGTACGGCATGCGCTTTTGTGTTGGCTGCTTTTATCATTGAATCGAAAGCTTGCGAGCAAAATGGATTGCAGCTATAAATAAACCTATAAATAAGCATAGACGTGGAGTGGTAAAATCTATATATATCTGTAATAAGGAGGAAGTAGTCTCGAGAATGATTATAGCTCTGGCTTGGGCAACTTTTGCAGACGAGCATGGACCCATTCTTCGGTACTGTCAATGTCACCCCCCAGACCTCCGACATACTTGGGGACACTTCGAAGTGGTATTTTGCCTTTGGCCTGTTCGACCGACACGAATTCTATTCGATCGAGAACTTTTTGTTTGGTAAAGAGACTGGCCAATTTGATGCTGGCATTGACAATGACTCTTGTCACAATGTTGGTGCCCGCAATGAGAATGGATTGTGGTCGTTGTGGGAATCCCTGGTAAAATGCCTGAATTTGGCCTTCATTTCCAATTTTGGGTCCTTGGGGAGAAACACTCACATCCATGACCATGGTGATGCCGTTCCGAAGACTGTTACTATCGGCATGCACGGCCAAAAAATGCATAATACAAGCATGAACATGATTTCTCTCTTGCTCTTTGGACACCTTGCGACCACCCCCGTTGATCCAAATGCAGGCCGTTCCATCGTAATTAGGTCCACACGGTTCGTAGGCGGCCAATTCGGACACAGCTTCTGGTTTCCACACGTCATCACTAATGCCATCGGGACATCCTAGTCCTTCCATCAACTCCAGAAATTTCACCATCTTCTTGACGGCTTCCTCCACACGGAGTTTGGTGTTGATTGTGGCCACGGCCAAAAAGGTCAAGCCAATGCGAGATTCTTCAATGCCGTGTTCTTCCATCAACATTGTCTTGACTTGACGAATCGCATCCAACTCTTCCGCCGTGTACTCAATGGGATGGTCGTCATTATTGTCGCTGCTGTTGAACGACTCTGGTTCCGTCTCGGAACGGGTCATTAGGTCGTCATCATCTTTGGGGGGCATGATAGTCTACTGTACGAGGTGTTTCTTTTTGCTGAATAAATAGTGAGAAAATGGGATGTTTGCCGTTTTGCTTTGTTTTCTGATGGCTTGGGGGTGACGTGGCCGAACGAACGGGGTGACTGACGTCAGCTTTTTTGTAGGGTTAGAGTATCCACGACGTGGAAAAAGAAGCGGGTTCTGGTTTCCCAGCTCCCACTGGCTTATTAGATTTGAAATTTGCTTCGCTTCGATCTCCGTCGTCGATTGGCGCTCTCTCATAATTTGGCTTCGTGCGTGCATGGCAATGACGGTGGGTTTGGCCCATTACAAAGTAGACAACCAAGTGCCAGTGAGCCACAATAGCAAAATAAAGAATAAAAACTACAAAACCAAACCTACAACATACCGGTAGTCTAGTTTCGTTACATGCAACCTTGTACCTCTCTTGTTGTCATACCGTAGCTGACCAATACCTATACCGTACCGTACGTGCAGCAGCGGAGGCAGATTCGATTCTGACGGAACGAGAAAGGATAGCTCTTGCCTCATGCATCATGTCCCGCTGCATATATAGCCATTGGAGACACATTGGGCGCCCTACATAATCTATTCTGTAGTAGATGGCAGTCATCCAAAACCGTCTACCGCACAGATCCAGGAGCATGGCTGGGCTTCCCGAAACGTCTAGCACCACCTATATTGGCCCGCCCCAGAACTCCGGGAGATATCACAATGGCTAGCCCCAGCCAACTGCAACCCCTACATTGGCTCGTACACGTACGGGCTAGCCACAAAACTGGAATGGAATGGAATGGAATCCCTACAAGCCCCAGCTCTGGCAATCAAGAAACAGGGTTGCGCTATAGCAATGGTTCTCGGTTTCCCTCAATGAAAGAGGTTCGGGTCGAGGTAATGCCACAAGATCCCTCCATTAGGTGTTTTCTCATCAGTGTCCCGCACTCGTCTCACAAGTGCTTCCACGAGCACAGCCCCCACAGCAAGGTTCATCACCGTGTGTTGTCGTCGTCGCTGTTCCACTAGCAGCGAGTTGATCCATGCGCTCGGTCAAGAATCGTTGCAGTGCACGATCCTTAATGACGTAGTCAAAGAGAAACTGGAGCTCGTCGTGCACACTGCGACTGTCTTTCAACGATTTTGGCGGCGGAAGACGCGCCGAGTTGTTGACAAATGCCATGCAAAATCGAACCCACGCGTTGACTTTGGTCGCATTGGCGGTTGCCGAATGCTGTCGAAACTCAATCGTTGGTTGACGGCCCGTGGCCAAGTTTTGCAGATTCATCTTGTAATAGCGTCCCTTGGGGTTCATGAGCTTACAGAGCTCTTCTTGGGTGGTACACGCTGCAATGGCACGATGGCGTTCTCCATTGGTAGCGGCCAGCACGTTGGAACCTGGAGTCGCGACAATGGCCGCCTTGCAACTCTGAAAGTACTTTTTACTGGCAGAGCTTCCGGTACGTCGAGATGCCGGGTGGAACAAGTCCATGGCGCCTTCGTATTTGACGTAATTTTGACAAATCTTTTGGAGATCCCCTAGCGACATGCCTTCGACAGAGATGTGCACATGAAAGCCCATGGTCTTGTTGACCAAAATGTCTGTCATGGACGTGACTCGGAGGGCTTCTAGAACCTGGTTGCATGTTTGCAGTCCTGGTGTTCCTTGAAGGACTGGCGAAACAAGCTCAAACTTGCTGCAGTTGGGAGCTTGCCGGCTACAGACAATGCTGCCATCGTGAACAATCTTCCATCCTTGGACAGGATTATGAGCATCTCGATACTGTTGAATCACCTCCACGGGAACTCCCGCATGGGATGTAATGGAACGGGCAATGGTTTCCCTTGTGGAACCCAGAGCACAAGAGAGCTCCAACTCAATGCCAAACGATCTATTTTCTACCATGGGTACCATGGTCAGACGCTTTTTCGGGGCTTGTGCGGAATCTGTGAATCTCTGTGACTTGTTTCGTTTGCCTCCTCTCTGAAGAGAAATGGGGTGACGAATTTCCACAGAAGCTCCACCCGCTCCCACAATTCTTATCTTTGGAACGAGGGCTCCTGTACTCTGTTGACGTGTCTTGAATCTCGTGACCCGAGAGCCATCCGGCAGCACTACATGGACGGGGCTCGCACAGACAAACAGAGGCGGCTGAAAGGATCCGTCGAGATGGAATTCCACCGTTTGAATGACATCCGCATCGCCCTGAATCACATCCACAAACAGAGTCCAATCGTGAACTTTCTTGAGCGTTCCTTTTCGGTTCCACTTGGCCATGCCATCGGGTATGCATTTGTACGTGTTGCCAGCCACATACAGCAGCGACGGTCCTCTACTGTTGGGATCGCTCTTCCCTGTGCCTCCTGGGGAGCGCTTCTTGGCTGCTCCTTGGCTTGCCATTTTGATTTCCTTCTGGTCCTTCCGCCAAGAAGATAAGGTACCGGTATGTGTCCGATGGCTATCTTATACTCTGAAGACCAGAGCAGTACTAGCTAGATAGTCAACAGGTCGAGCATGCATCTATGTGATCATGGGCTCCATTTCCATTTCGACAACAGGCAGCACTGATGAGGCGACTACGCACATCCATTTTGAGGCATGGTACTTGGGGTAAACGTATTCTCAAAGATCCATTTGTTGGATCTCTTTAGAATTGTTCAACTTGTAACGAAATTTTCGTATTACCCCAAACCCTTACTTTTACCTTTTTGGATCTTTTTTTACACCCGTGCAACTCTTCGAGCACCAGAGATTGGACCCTGTTTTCTTATGAGCCTAAACTACATACATGGTACCGCTAGGAGAGTGCCGGCTGTGTAGTTCAGGTACCCTGTGCGGTACAATACAGGCCCAATGCAGCTACGGTACCAGGAATTGCACAACGAATGATACATCCTTTGAATTATTAGGCGTTGATGAGCGTTGCCTCAAAAAGTGGAACATTGTCATGGAAGGGCTTCAGGGGCTACCTGTACCGTACGGTCCCATCAGTAGCTAGCTTCTCAGCTAATAATAAGTCTGGTGGATATACCGATGCAGCCTGTCCTTCCTGACTTTTGCATTGGTTACATACACTGTGTAGGTCTTTCCATGAAGACAGAAGGCAACCAAACTCCAGATTGCATCCGAGCGGTTCCAGGTACCATGTTCCATGAAAGGTGTACAAAGCAGCTCTAATGGCTGGATGGAGATGTTGCTGATGCGACGGCATCTAGTGAGCCTTCGCGCGTAATTGGTGCGCATTCATTCCCTCCAGTCAGAATCCTCACAATTTTCTTTTCTTGGATCGATCGACTTGTGTTGAAGCAGTTGTGTTGAAGCAGTTGCCGATCAATCCAAGAAAAGAGAACGCTAGCATACAGTAGTAGACGTTTTGTTTGAAACAAGGACAGACAGAGAATTGCCATTGTGGCTGTTGAAAAAGAAGAAGCAGAAGAAACGTCTTGCTGTTTTGGGTTTACAAACGTCTTGCTGTTTTGGGTTTACCCAGTTTCCCCAATTGTTTTCCGGAACTTGGGGAAAACACGTTTTGGTTTTACCCTACTTCCCACCCCAGGGAGTTGAGGTATTTTGAAACAAACAGCAAAGCTGGCATTTTGAAGCCCGCCCCAGTACAGCTCTTATCCACCTCGCCACACATCCCATCAAGTTCACTGCACCCAAATCTTTCAAGCAAGGCCAGCGAGCAACCGCAAGACAGTCGCAACCTATCGGGAACCTACTCAAGTGATCTGCAAGAGTAGCTGAAGCCCCTGTTCAGCTCCCACGGTGGTTCCAAGTTTGTGACTTTCCCTTGCGGCGTCTGCGTTTGACAACAGGCCAGGCCGCTGCGAAAGCCCTCGCAAAATTTTTTTTTCTTCACCTTTGCAAATCATGGCTGAACTTGATGATAGAAAACCCGCAGCTGTCACTGTGGACGCAGTGGATGCAGCAGCAGACCAAGACTCATCTGAAGATGAAGCTCCTCCAGCTCTAGCCCCTGCTGTTCAAACAGTTGGCACCACCACACCAGCAGCATCGTTAGAGCAGCACACTACAACAGTGGAACCCACAGCCCAAGCCAAACAAGCCCCAACAGTCACATTTGCAGCGCCAAATACACCAGCTGCTTCCACTCCCAGGTACTTTGCCCCAACATCCCAGACAGGACAAATTGCTCAATGGTGCTCCAGTGATGCCTTCATCTATGAGCATGACAATCAAGCTGCCCTCAATGAACGAGCTATGATTATTGACATGCTCAATGCAACTCATCTTTTGCAACAAGAGAATCGAGATCTACTTGTTTTAGCCAACAAGGGCTACACCAATGTTCCACCTGACCCTTGCTACTTCCTGGCAAGACTTAATGGTGGTCAACTTGTCATTTTCTATGGATTTCAGCAGTGCAACCAGCTTGGATCGGCATGGCAGTCCAAAACTGTTGTCTTTGTTGGTGACCCATCTGCACCCAATGTTGCCCCCCTGGTTTGGGTTCCCAAACGCTTAGCTGACTTTGCTCACGGCAATCTCACAGTGTCAGCACTGACTACCATCACCAATGTTACGCGTGCCACCAGGAATGGACCCACCAGTCAACGTGAGCTTCCAGTCAAGCTTGCAACATCCAGAGCAGCACGAGAGCATCCAATAGTAACTATGGTCAAGATTCCCCCCCTCCTCCTGGCTCAAGCATTTGCAGCTGGAGATCCCCAGCAGAGTCCATTGAATTTTATGCTACCAATCCTCAACTTTGTTCAAAAGTGGACAGCTCAGGCAAATGCGTTACCAGAACAGGGATACAAGCGTGATAAGATGTTGACATGTTTGAAAAACAGTTTGTTGACAATGGTCACTCAGAATACGGCCATGCGAGGTACAGTGCAAGAATCCGTGGGTGTGACTGCAGCAATGTTGGAGCTGTCCCAAGATTCCCTGTATTTCCAGCCACCTGATGTACACAGCACAAATTGGGCCATTGCCAACTGGAATCGCCTAGCTCCACAACAGCAACCTTCAGGAGTGCAGCAGCCTCCACAGGTTCAACCTTTCGCAGCAGTGCAGCAGCCTGCAGCAGGAGTGAAACAGCCTCCACCAGTCCCACCATTTGCAGCAATGCAACAGCCTGCAGCCGGAGTGCAGCAGCCTCCACAGGTTCAACCTTTCACAGCAGTGCAGCAGCCTGCAGCAGGAGTGCAGCAGCCTCCACCACAGGTCCAACCATTCACAGCAGCGCAGCAGCCTGTAGCAGGAGTGCAGCAGCCTCCACCACAGGACCAACCATTCACAGCAGTGCAGCAGCCTGCAGCAGGAGTGCAGCAGCCTCCTCATTTCCCCCCACTTTCAGCAGTGCAGCAGACTGCAACAGGGCGGAGTGCAGCGGCCTTCATCAATCCCACCATTGGTAGCAGTGCAGCAGCCTGCACCAGGAGGGCAGCAGCTTGCAAACGCAGTACAGCAACCTGCACCGGCAGCGCAACAGCCGACAGCAGCACAGCAGCCTCAACCAGTTCCACCATTTGCAGGAATGCAGCAACCTTCAGGAGGCCAGCCACACTCCTTCCACCAACCACCTGGACTCCAGTACCCATTTGCGGCTCCACCTCCAACTACTTTTGGATCACCAGCTGCTGCAGCTGCAGGTCCCAGTGTGTGGGGAACATATGCTCCGCCCCCCCCAGGCCCCCCAGCTGGACCAGCCCCAGATCCCAGTGTGTGGGGACCACGTCCTCCTGCTCCCCCAGGTCCTCCTGTTGCACCAACTTGGTGGCCTCGGCAACCAGCTTATGGTCCTGGGTTTCCCCCAGGAGCGCCTTCACAGGAAACGCCGGGGGCTTCCAAAGACACTGCCATGTATACCATTATCATGCCAACTTTGTGTGCTCTTATGGGCTTCACTTTCATTCCAGCTGACCCTGTCCAACAGGGCATGCCTAGTTTTCTCCCCCAACTGGCACAAGCATCAGCAAAGGGTCCTGGTCTGATGGCACTGTTCCGCAATGGTATCCAAAGTCTCACCAGCTCGCCGGACAACAGCACCTTTTTCCAGGGTTTCAATATCTCTCCCACCTTGCACAAAGAACTCCAAAGCTTTCAATACAGCATTGACGACCCTCAAACAGACTGGCACAAAGGGTTGGGCCCAGGTGTGGCCATGAGCCGCGATCGTCAAGCTGTCCTGGATCGCAAACGTCTTTACGAGCAAATTAACACGTTTGGTGGTATGGGAATCACAATGGGCCGCCTCGGGGACACCAAATTGGAAACACCCACTCCTTCCCTGCCCCGCACATATCAAGAGTTTCTGTTTTTCCTAACTTGGTATGGAAAAATTCTCTTGACTTGGCTCACACCAAACTGTGCCCTTTATCGTCTGGTGGCAGCACTTTCTACAGAAGTGCTTAATTACAATCGGCACGCAACATATCCTGACCACTGGTACTGGGAAAATGGCCCTTTCATTCTTTGGAAACTTGTGCTGGAAGCCAAAAACTTCTTTGACCAAAGTCGCAGTCATGAAACATTCTTATCGTTGGGTCCAATTCGTTTTGCAACAGAGCCTCATCTGGCAGCTAGAGATCTTATCCGAGATGCAAAAACTGGCCTTTCTCAGACTGAACTCCCTGGACCATTTCAGCAACTATTGAATTACAGTGTCCCAGGTCGCCCAACACCACCCGTGCATTTCAATCCTGGAGGACAGATGGCACCCCCGGTGCAGCCGCCCCCAGCAAGGCAGGCACCACCAGCGCAAGCTTCTGCCCCCCCCTTCTGGTAGGGGTAGCTCAACAACTCCTTCCAATCGACAGTCAGGGGTACGAAATGGAACTCCACCAACCACCAGCAGACGAAATCCCCATGCAGCTCAGGTTTTAGTCTCATG